GAGAGAGAGAGAGAGAGAGAGAGAGAGAGAGAGAGAGAGAGAGAGAGATCATCTATTGTATTACAGTTCAGACTCTGAGACAGCTGACACTTTTGCAGGCTTGTAAAGTCAAAGAAAAGGGGTCAATGATGCTCTCTAAAATGATGGAGGGTGAAAATGACCTCAGCTGCACAGTGGCAAGCTGCCAAATTTCCCTCCAGGTCCACAATCCCAGTGACTCTCAACTCTGGCAGGGGAAGGTGATGAAGCTGGGTCAACCCACTCCTTTGACCAGTAGAAGTAATGAAAAACCTGAAGAAATCAAGTAGTTTCATGTCTAGACTCTTCCTCTGTAGTTTCCATGACCTGAGCTCACAGGTAGGACAAGAGGGCTGACAGAAGAGAAGATGGAGGAAGGGTGCAATAACAAGGTCTGCCAATGCATGATGGCCCTGAACATGCACAGTTCCACCTGCCTCTTCCTTGGGACCACCATCCCAGCTCCTTCAACTTCCCATCATCACAGCCAGGTGCCCAATAGGGCCTTGGATCCTGGCCCATTCTTTACTGGAAATGACTAACTTATTACAAACACTGATTATTATGACCACAAAAAATGTAGCATAGCACAAAAGCACTTTGTGAGAACATCCAAAAGCTTCTTTATTATCAACCATAATAAAAGAGTGAAAGGCAGAGCACATGTTTTCCTGGCCTGGCATGTTCCTCTCTGGGCCCAGATGATAATGGACCTGTGAGGGGCTCCTCCCTAGAGGCCTGAGAACAACAGGTCAAGGGACAATCGTTCAGTCAGGACAGTAGTATATTCTCTGTCAAACCTGACGTAGTAGAGTACTTGCCTAGATATTGCATGCCCATGATAATCCTACTTACACAGGGACTTAAGGAGCTGGGAGGCTATAATTATGGTCCTATACCAGTCATGAACAGGGGGCTTCTTACCTAACTGGTCAATACATGCTCCTTACTAAGGGTCCTAAGAAACCCTTCAGAGCTAGCCATACAGGGAATAGGAGTACTGCAGACAGCTGAGTATAGGAGCCACCTCTGCAATTCTACAGGAGGAAGGAGTAAAACAGATGAGGCCCCCTTATATAGATGACAAAGAAAGAGGGTTAGAGACCACTATTGTTCCAAGAATTATCAGAGAACCTTGAATAGATTCCCTAATTTGCACCTTCTGGTATTAAAACCAAACCTGAAACTTATGTAAACTACACTAGCCACTCTAACCCACAATATGGTAATAGGATGCTTGTTGGATCAAGGCCTAGCCTGTCTGTGTAGCATGGACAGTGTTTGTGCCCATGCAAGGTTTATTCTGTGCCCCAGGTTTGCTACACATTAAGTAATAGTAATGCCAAGGTTACTACCCTACCCAACTGTACCCAGATGTCAAATGCTTACCCTTGTAACACTACCAGCAGTCTGGTCTTCTTGCAGATGTAGGCTGATTGACGGGCAGAGCGATTCTGTTGGGCCTCCAGGGCACTAGAAAGGTATTTCTGGAAGTGGGCAGCATGAAAACATTCAGAGCTATCCATGATTTGGCGGTACACCATCCACCTGGAAATGGAAATGTAATCTCAGCACCAGGGCTACCTGATGGCTTGGCCCTGTAGGCTCAGTAATGGATTCAAATGTGACCTGTATTCCAAAGTCATTCTGCCCACTGAATCCATATAGGATAAAGCAATCCTAATGTCACAGAAAAAGGAAGAAAGTACTAGATGAATTAAGAGCCCCAAATTCGGAAGCTACTATCATTGGCACTTTTGACAGGAAAACCCCTGCCACAGGGAAAACAAGTAAGCTCATGATCAATAGACTTCAGAGGTGAGAAATACTTCTGACCAAGCAGTGATTTTCTGAAGAACCATGCAATAGATGGTTTCAGTACAGCGCTTATTAAAACTCTTGCTAAGAATAAGAAATAGGCAGGTAAAGAATTCAGAATGTTTATAGAATAACAGCACTACACATGATGAACTGGTTAGCCATTAAGTGTTTATTAAACAAGGCCCAATAATTCCCTAGCATTTCTCTAAAACTGTTCTCCTCATTCCCTGCAATTTCTCACACTAAATTCCCAACCCTTATGCAATTTTAGTTTTCTTAATTCCTTTAAAGCCTTCTGCAGGATTCTTTACTTTGGAGTACACTGACTAGATATTCTGTACCCAGGTCAGTCAAGAAGAGTTGATTAATCATCTGCCAGTCCAGTGAAGTGATGGATGAATAATTTTCCCAGTTTCACCTGAGCCAACATGTCCCAGTTGCACCAGTACTCATGTGGTCCCTCTGTGGTCATGGAAGGTTCACTAATTCTACCAGTTCCCAAGTTCTTATGATCACCATGGCACTGACCGTCCCCCTGCTGATCAGGCACACTCCCATCCCTTTGAATTTGCTCAACCTGCTGCTGTGCTCTTCCCCAGATACCAAATGGTTAGTTCCCTTATTTCTTCAGGTCGTTGTGGAAATATCACCTTTTCAGTGAGGTCTTCCCTAACCATCCATTCAATCCCTCTCCCAGTCTGCACTTCTCTGCTTTATTTTCTCCAAAGCCTTTTACACTAGCTAATATAGACTATTTTCCTTACCTGGCTAAGTGTCTTCCCAAACTAGAATGTAAACTTCATTAGAGCAGAAATTTTCTTCTGTTTTGCTCAGTGATGTATTCCCTACACTTAGATCAGTAGCTGGCATACAGGAAGCACTCAGCATAGTGTGTTAAATGAACAGATGGATGGATGACTACTGTGCCAATACCAGTTGCACCAAAGACCAGTATGAATTTTAAAGTCACCCCATTAATATACAGGCCCAGGCATAGAATCCCATTCCCAAAGCAAAGGCAGCAGACATACTAACCTGCCATATTCCTTATGCAGGGTGACCAGAAAAGCGCAGAGCTCACTAGCATGACAGCCTGGCAGGCCAGTTACAATGCTGATAATTACCTACATGAAAGAAAAGTCATGTGGGTTTGCAATTCAACCAAGAGGCAGCACTGAGTAAGAAGTTAAGAGAACTGAACTTCTGGAGTCAGGCTTTGAGGGCTTGAACCTCAGCATCACTATTCATCAGCTCTGTGACCTTGGGACAATGACAAAATCTATCTTGTAGGGTTGGGTGTGAGGAGTAACAGACTTAATTTATTTCAAATGCTTAGAATAGTGCCTGGCACATAACAAATACCATATACAATGTAGTCTTACTATTCTAATTGCTGTAAAACAGGTTGTGAATATATCAGTTAAAATATAATGTATTAAAAAGCCGATCTGCTTGAGACCACAAACCTCTTTTGTAAAGCAGACATTCAGGGATAAGATGACTATTTCCAACAATAATACTTCTTAGGAAAATAATAGGCAGAAAGGAGGTCTGAGACAAAAATGCCTTAGGCTACACTGGTGTGACAAACTTGGCAGAGGATAGGAGCTGCCCTGTGGATGTTTCTGCCTGGCTGCCTGTGTCCCTGAGCCACATGGCCTGGCCTGAAACAAAATTCACTGGGCATGGGAAGCACTTCTGATTCTCAAGGAAAAGAGAAGCCAGCTGGATTGTCCTCACCTCATTACATGGCCACAAAAAACACGACCCCTCTTGGGCTGGGGATATAGCTCAGTTGGTAGAGTGCTTGCCTTGCATGAACAAGGCCCTGAGTTCAATCCTCAGCACCACACACAC